GGAGAGTTCGGGCTCCTCGTAGGGAGTTCGGGCTCCTCAAAGGGAGTTCGGACTGCTGGTTTCTTTCCTTTGGTGCTTGCACCCTGGATACGCTGCTTTAAGTGCCGAGCTATTTGTTTTTGCCATATGGAGTGATTGTGAGGTTGAGCCAAATCTTCCTTCATCACTACCCTTCCATCTTAAATTTAAGGGTTCATCTCTTCATCCAAATGGACTTGAAACCCATTGAGTTAGAGGATGATAAAGAAAGATTTTTGTTTTTCCATCTGCTTTCTGTTTCAAATAATAATTGGACAAAAGATAAGGGTTAACTTGGTCCACATATAAAATTTTCCTTGCAAAAGCAACAATCATGATTTAAATGATACTAAATCCATCACATTGTGATACACGGATTGTTAAATGAAATTCTTTGGAGATAAAAGAAACGCGGTTATGCTGTTATCGGGTTATGCCATTCCTTACGTCATTTATAAATTATATAATGGTATTCTGGTACCTGTTCAAAGCTTATGGGTCCTTTCCTCTAAAAAAAACGTTTATGGGCCCTCAACCAAAATTTGTGGGCCTGACATATTCAAATGCTGTAGAAACCTTATCCAATTCAAGTGTGAAAAAGCCCAGTCCAAAGAAATAAAACAGTCAGCATAGTCCAAGGATTTGAATGAGCTAGGCGGCCCAACGAAACAAGACATTAAATAAAGGGTTGAATGAGCTAGGCAGCTGGCAGTTGGACTGCACCTTTTATTAGGGTGTGGAAAATTGACAACCAGCTCCTTTTATCAGCCGATTAATTCGAAATTCATATGGTCCAAGGATTTGAAATCCATCTAGATTTTCTGATAATCTTTTGAAAAGGAGGTCGGACCCTTAAGATGGAGGCCCGATACGAATAAATGTTTCAATCCAGCCCATCAAATCCACACTACAGGTATTGATCAGAAACTGGAATTGGACTAGAGTTGGTGGACTATAATAATCACTATATGGAGTTATTTTAATATGTATGAAAAAATAATGGGTTTTGAAAAGTAAATAAAATATTAATTTTTTAGTAGAGTTGATATAGATGGGCCCACATATACCAATTAAATGGTTTTTTTTTTGACAATGTGGGCCATTTTGTTGGTGCAATTTCTATGAAGACAGAAATTGATTGAATATCTGCTACGCTAACCTTGGACTAAAGCCGTGAATCACAGTTCTGATGTGACTCCAGAGGATGATGAGGTGACATTAGATGGGGTCTAGAATACATCCAAAGGCCATGATTTTAGGTTTTAGTCTAAGGCTACGCCCCGCGTATGACATAGAAGGTTTCACCTCTGAGAAATTGGACTCTCAGATGATAACAAATTAACAAGGCAGTCAAGCTCAGCAGAAATCAGCTACTCCACTTGGTGTAGCGCTGGGCTAAAACCCTTAATCACGGTCTTTGATGCGTTGCTGTGACCCCGCATCAGAGTCACTTGATCCAATTCAAGGTGGCTTCACTTTATGACCGACCATAGGCCACTTTACCACCGACCACTTGTTATGATTAATTGACGCTAACAAATTAACTACATTGAAAATATAGGGAAAAACAAAAAACAAAAAAATGATTCCAGGGGTAGTAGGCCAAATTTCTAATTCACGCTGAACGCCATTAAGACTGATGGATACTTCTCGGAGATTCCTGAACTCTCTGTTAATTCAAAGGACAACAGTAAGCTTATAACACTTAATGATGGACAACTAACATATTTCACAGACCCAAAGATTGATGCAAGCAATAATAGCTTTATGGATTTTCTCTAATTCTGTAAAATGATCGCCAGATCAGTAAGGTTCATTCATCTGTGAGGATGCTTGTTGATTAGTTAAGGCACAAATCTGGGTTTGGCTTGTGATTTATATCAGCATGAATGCAATCATATTAGTCATTTGTTTCGGCATTGCGCTTTTGATTGGCCCTTCTGGTTTGGAGTATTTATGGGTAAGCATGTTCCATCTTCTGATTCTTATAGCCTGCATCCATGTATTGATGCTCGTTGCCACCTCCCGAATATTGCTTTGTCTAATAGGCTTCACAGCCATCTATATGATGCGATATTAACACATTATTCTGCAATAATCAAATTACTGACTTTGGAGTAAACCCTCTCATGGATGCTTGGTGCAAGATTGATTCTGTTGGGACACTCCCGTTATGGGCCCTAATCATGGAGCTCTTGGCTGTGCTGCATCACTGGCTTGGATATGATGAAGGGTTTGTTCACTTGTTTGCTGCAGTGACAAGGGGCCCTATTCAAAGTGCCGCAAGCAGCATGGAATCAGAATAGATTACTAGTTCACTACTCGGGAAGAGAAAATCTACAGGTATTTTCAAGTTTCCAATAGCAGGTGGAACCGTGGAAGTGGAGCCTCTTCTTATAGCATTGATGTTATTGGCAGGTGTTTTAGGTTTCCAATGCTATCTCTCATGCATGCTGTAGTCTGTAGATGATAATCTAGACCAAAAACAAGGTCTTTTCGACTGAGTTTTACTTCTGAAAATAGATCTTGAAAAGTGGCACTGGCAGCTATATGATATCAGAGCAGCATTCCACAGGAGGAAAATAAGTGTATTAACTTCCTGATTTCGTCTGAAGACATGCTCCAGATGTGTTTTGTTGTATCAGAGCAGCATTCCACAGGAGGAAAATAAGTGTATTAAGTTTTGTATTTGCTAAATTTATTTACTAAAATGTATTTGCTAGATTTATTTTCAAATGACCAGTCCGAACTCTGAATCAGACCACACATGACTTGATTGACCATTTTTTCTTTGCAGAGAAACGTATTTTTTACAAACCTTTGGTTCCCATCTTGCCAAATTAGTGTCATTTCAGTACTGCAACACAACCCGAGAAACAAACAACAAATGGGTTGTTGTGATTGCAAATTTGTAACAGAGACTTGGGATCAACTGCCACCTGCACCAGGGTGGTTAGGGGGACAAAAAAGAAGAAAAGATTCTACATTTCCCTTTTGTGTTGTCTATGCTTTTGTTCCTTCACTTGTTTTTATTTCCAGTGTGTAGGTACCAACAATAGGATGACATCTCCAATTTGGTCCACCACCAAACTAAATATGCACAGTTACCCCCACCCCAAACCCCAAAAAGGGAAATTTCATCGGATTACTTCTGCTTTTGATAAAAAATATGGAATTTCTACTTTTATTTTGCTCATCAACATCAAGTAGATCAGGGCCATGTCAAAGTCAAGTTGCTTTAGCCTTCCATAGTTTCACAATTGCAGCAAGGAATCATATTTTACCTGCAAAGTAAGCATTTATGGGATAGTGGGTAAACATGCTTCTATGTCCAAGACTTGGTACCAACTTCCTTCAACTACTAAAACAGATGATTTAAGTAACCCAGTTTCATCTTACCATACTCAGCTCTAAATCTTATCTCAGAACTATTTCCTTAGAAACAGCATCCATGCTCTCACAAACCTAACTTAGCAGACTTATTCATCAGGATCCATGTTCATGAGAGTTTGACAAAAGTTTGAGTTATGGTTGCCAACCTGACACAACCCTCCTTTAACCAGGATTTGGACCAGCAGGGTAGTAAGACAAGCTCAAATAGAAGAAAGAACAAAGTTCCAGAACAAAGTTATTTGAAATAATTTATCTCTTTATCAGTTATTTGAAATAACTTTCTCAAGTGACAACAAAGAACAAAGTTCCAGAACAGGAACAGTACAAAGAAAGGTTATTTTTTAGATTTAAATGACTTTGGGATACAATATTAAACGCCAATTAGTTACATTGGCTGTTACAACCAACAAATTAATTTCAGCCACTGTCAAGTCACTTTACATGGGCTAGAAAAGTTTGAAATAAATTAGCCCTTGGGCATTCGAATTTCAAACTTACAGCCTTGAACATCCCTTGCTCCCCAAAATTCCAGGTTACAATGACAAGCTACAACAATGATGTGATAAACAGGAAAAAGAAATTAAACATTAGATACCAGGTAGGTACAGATCCTCAATGGAGAAATGCCAACATCCAGAAGGGACTTCTGTCTGATCACCATAGGTTAACAGTCTGGAGAAGTGAGGAATCAGCTCTGCTATCTTTAATCTTTAGAAGAGACTTTCAAGTATTTTTGGAGAAGACATAGACGCCACACATTTAAACTGCCAACATAGTAATAACCATATTATGAAAACAAACTAGTTTTTTATAATTTAGATAAACTGGTGAAATGCTAATTGTAGGAGCCAGTTCTAGACAAAGTTTTGCAGTAATACTTCCTAGTATGAACTTAAAATGGCTATGCATTAGGGATATGCCAACAAGAACAAACAGTGGTCAAATTGTGACCTTTTGTTGCCTGTACTTTTCACGTATAGCATGCAGGGGGCAACCTTTGGTATTGACTTGCAAATCTTGAAGTGCTAGAACTGTAATTTTCATATCTGATGCCTTGTAGGTGGTATAGTACTCTAGAGTTGCGTTCTGCAGGAATTATAAATAAAGTTAAGGCACTACATATGTAGAATAAAAACAGTGGAACAGAGAATCTGGAAGAGAATAGAAAGGATGCAGACCCATGGGTGACATTTCTGACCCAATGTCCATCTGGCAAGGAATACAGCAGATGCTGCAATGAGGGAAGGAAGGAACTTCAAGAATGCATACTCAACCAGAGTTAGCTCTGCTAGATAATTGGCTAAGAACTCCAATTCAAGGCTAGGGACCTGTAAATAGTACATGAACTTTCAAAACTATCCTCTATCTGAACAGAAACCAGAATGTGAAATTGCTTTCCCCAACCTTAGGGGTCCAATGAAAATGAGATATTACCTTGTAAGAAGCTTGTGCTGCTCGAAGGAATCTCCTGTTATTCAAGAAGTTGAGAAAAAGAATGTTTTAGAAAGTTCAATTGATATGTATCACCAAAGCTGCCATAAAAAATTATAAATATTGTTGAGCTCACCTCAAAAATGTTTTTATGGTAGGTGTTGATAATTGAAAGCCCAAGTAGTTCAAGACTTGACTCTCCATTTTCAGGACCTGTTAGTCTACTTCAGTCAGAAACCATAATGCTAAACAAGGGAGCACAGTATTCTGGTAAAACCAAAAAGTTCCAACAAATACAGTGTGGTTTTCTTTTCCTTTAAATGTTATATGTTATATGTAGACAAAGCCTCAAGCTTTTTAACCGAGCCAATAATATAACTACGTTCATAACAATCACTAACGTGTGCAATGCATGGGAAAATAGGGATTGTACATCTTATATTGATAATTTGTACTAATTACAATAGTGATATCACATTGTGATCACTTGATTATATAATTAGCTTGTTCTATAACTTTATTATAAAGCCATGTCATCGTAATTTTAATATGTAAAATGATTACATGTTATCATCTAAACATCGTTCTTGCTATGACATTTTCTTTTTGACCAACCTTGCTTACACTGGCCCTTTTTATCCCTTGTATATGCAACCAGGGACATAGAAGGGAATTACTCCCCACATCATTTCCCACTGGCTCTGGCCCCTAAATGCAGCATTTGATAGTTATATGGCAAGAAGCATCAAGAAATACCAACAGATGTTTATACCAAAAATAGATGATTATCTAGTTATCTCAACTACATGAATCTTGTTCCGCCATTCTGCACCATTCAGTGCCATATCCATTGTTAACTTTATCTAGTTGCTCTTATATTTTAAAAAGAAGTACGACAGCATAATTTTGATGGTAAAATACATCAGAAGCAATATTAAAATCAGCTAATAATGTTGCTAAATATTAATAAAATAATATTACTAGTAGTAAAAATGTATGTGCATTATTAATAATAAATGAATTTTATGTTTCTTTTTTCATGCATTCATGGGTTTCCTGTTTCCACAGGTTTCTAGGCAGTTACTGTCAACTGTTTTATATCATTTGGTTTGTTCAAAAACTCCAGGCTACTTGTACATCATACTAAGTTAAAGTGTTCCTTGGTTTTCCTTGCAAAAGTCTTCTCCTTCAGCCATTCCAATAATAAACAAGCAGTTATTGACAGTTGACACCTTCAAAACATCAAAGAAAAGATAAAGGTTAAATGGTTAATCAGGGTATACTGGTAAGTATATTCTCAAAATAGTATATAAATTCCAAATTATTAAAAGAAACTAATCCAATATGGCTAGGGATTATAATACAGCAACAGGTTTTGTAAAATATCTTATAGTCAATTTTCCTTATGTCTAATATGCTTGAATACAACTGTGAAAATTTTGAACTACATAAGTCAAGAAAGAAGTGTTTTAGCAATAAAAAAGCTGCCAGAAGGAGAAGATAGTGATAATCGTTCTCTATTTTTCTTAACGTGCTAAGACATATCCCGTCCTTGACCCCATATGCTGATAATTTAAAGGTATGACATTGTCAAACATTTCAAACACAAAATTGGAAAACAATTTCAACATTCAACTCTAGGAGACATCATATTTCACAGCATAATGGTGCTCAATAAAAATCAATCATCAGTTTCTCAATGTCATAACAGATAAAATATATCCTACCCATTCTTGATCTCATATGCCAGTAACTCAAAAGAAGAGGATGAAGGCATTAACATCCAATCAAGGATTACGAATTCTCACATGAGATATAACAAGAACTCAGTAATACTTTGAGCCTTGATGGATAGCAGTTGTTAAAGGTACATAGTAGAGAAGTCTTGGTTCAAGTGAATGAGATAGAGCATTATTATTTTTCCCCTTCTATAGTATACATTGCTATAATTTATTCTGTTGGTGAATTCTTAACAGTGTAGAACAAGACAAGTTTAAAGGGAAGCAACAAAATTACCTCTCCTCTTGTGTAGGTATTGTCTGTGATGAAGCAGAATTCTTCAACACGAGGAGCACATATTTCTTCATACTTCCTTCAAGTCATAAATAGAAAAGAAGCAAGTTGAAAATTCCATCAGCAACACAGTATACATTTTGTCTAGTTTTTCATCACAATAATGATCATATGTTTTCCTTAATGTTTCAACTAACTATTCATTCTTTAACTATAAAGGTTAGAATATGCCTAACAGACATTTATCATCCCCAAGTTAAAAATCACTACAATGATATCTGTAACTAATATGATGGAAAAGCAAACTTAGTCACACTTCCCCAACAAAAAAAAAAGSCTTGCATCAATTCTAAAACAGACAAATCCAAATACAGAGGTAATCACGCAAAACATGGCTATGTTCTGTTTGGCCTCCCATTGTATTGAACATGGATTTTTGTTCCCCAAAACCAAGATGAGATAGATTTGTTTTTCCTCACATCTAAGAAGTGGAAGAAAAACAATTGCTTTTTTTCTTTAGTATGTACTTCATGCTATGTTTTCCTTAATGTTTCAACTAACTATTCATTCTTTAACTATAAAGGTTAGAATATGCCTAACAGACATTTATCATCCCCAAGTTAAAAATCACTACAATGATATCTGTAACTAATATGATGGAAAAGCAAACTTAGTCACACTTCCCCAACAAAAAAAAAGCCTTGCATCAATTCTAAAACAGACAAATCCAAATACAGAGGTAATCACGCAAAACATGGCTATGTTCTGTTTGGCCTCCCATTGGATTGAACATGGATTTTTGTTCCCCAAAACCAAGATGAGATAGATTTGTTTTTCCTCACATCTAAGAAGTGAAAGAAAAACAATTGCTTTTTTTCTTTAGTATGTACTTCATGCTCCCTTTCTACTTTATTCTTTGATGAGTTCAAGGTGAAGATCATAATTCACAATTAAGATCACCCTTAAAATAGATTTGAGAAAACACACTATCACCAAAGGCTTACAAAGCTATTATTTGAAGACTATTCAATGGAAAAAAACCCTTAGGACGGCAAGGCTGTCTTTGAACTGGCAAACATAAAGTCCAATCCCCCCACATTTGCAAGTTCCAAAGTTTCATGCAGTACTGCAGTAGTGTCCTTCTGGAGACAAATAGTGGAATCTAGAAACCAGCAGATTTCTCCTGGTTAAGGGAGGGCTGTTTGTACAAAGTGTCCTATTCAATGGAAAAACCTTAGGACGACCAGGCTGTCTTTCAACTGGCAAACATTTCTAAGGTCAATCCCCCATATCTGCAAGTTCCAAAGTTTCATGCAGCAGTTTCTTCTTGAGACAAACAGTAGAATCCAGAAACAGCAGATTTCCCCTGGTTAAGGGAGGGGTGTTTGCTTTATCCTCCAATTCATTTCCACCCTAATCCAACTGAGCCACATGGGAAAAAAGAAAGAACAATGCAACAAATTCCACTATGAAGGTGGGTACTTACGAGGCTATTAGCATGCAGGTGATGCCAAGCAGTTGCAGTCTTTGTCTTTCAATGAAGTTTTGAGAAAGAAACCGATCAATGAGATACACAGTAAGATAAAGTGTATCTGGAACCAGTTTATATTCCTCAGAAACCTGAAACATATGCATTCATGATTAGTGATAAACACTTTCACCATCAATTTTCTATCTGGAGAACCCAAATTGATGCTTTAACCTCTTAATTTGACCATAATACTGCATTATACAGTGCATATCACTCAGGTGCTTTCAAGATTTAAGAGTGGGATTTCTCATTTCTGGGACTGGTCCTCGCAAATTTTTTAAGAAAAATATAAAGGAAATGCAGTGTCAGATTGTCATCATGTCAATGATCAATAAAGTGAAAAGAGGAAGTTAGACCATGACAATATGGTATCAACACGTTACCCTATTGTCAAGGTTGGTGATTCTTGCAAATTTATAAGCATCTGAAGTTGATCCTCAGGTTTTGAGAGTAGAAAATATTGCTCAAGCTTTTTAAGTCTTTTGGTATTGATAGAAGAGAATATGTTGAAGTGTTGGAGAGACCAGATGGGGTTGAAAATGGTATGTTTCTCTCAAAAAAAAAAATGTTTGCATCCAAGAACAGGGCATTCATGAGGAAAGTTAGATTGTAGAGATGAAAAGGAAAAACAGGGTGGGAGTTAAGAGTTATTATAGATGATTCAGAAGAGAAGGAGGAGGAGGAAGAGGTGCACTTAGAGGAGATAAGAAAAGTGAATAAAAACATAGAGTTGTGTAAGGTAATAATACATTATATTAAATATAGCATAAAGCCCAACCCCAGCACAAGCTAATATTTCAGGCCTGAAGTGCAGGCTGGACCGGGCCTCATCCTAGATTAAGCTCCTTATACTAAATGCTAAGCCCAGACCATGATAAACCCCACCAAAGGAGTCTGGAGTTAGGTCTGGATTTAGTATAGTCTTAATCTGAGTAAAGGTGTGTTGAGATGAATAATATAGTCTTAATCTATGAGATTTGGGAAGGGATGGGCATTGGTAAAATGAAGAAAGGTGGGGAGAGGAGGAAGGCACAATCAATATTTGAAGACTGTTTGAAGCAGAGTTGATTGGATGAGGATTATAGGGGTGGTTTTTTTGTTATGTATGTGAAGGAATTTTTATTTGTATGGGGAGTTGTTATTTGTGCTTGTGGCCTGGTTTGCCAAATAGTAGGATGGGGCCATAGTTGTTTGGTTCCCTTTCTTTGGTGATTTCCTATTTGACTCTTTACCTCTCTTTTTAATGAATTCTTTTTTACTTTACTAAAAAAAATACTGCATTAAATGGATTTTTTTTTTCAAAATCAGTACCCTGCATTTCGTTACTCTTCTATAGCCAGATTAGAAACACTACAGAAGAACAAAAGTTTTTCCAAAATTAAATCACTTCAGAAAATTCCTTTTTGTTAGTTTTATTTAAATTTTACAGATGTTCATAAGAAATACTACAAGTTAGAAGTATATTTCCAGAGTTAATCCATTGAATGATGAATTTGCAATTCTAGCACAATATTTTCCACCCTGCAGACTTGCAGCAGCCTTTCCCATGATACAAAATATCGGAATGTTGAATGCACAGACAGATTGCCATTTCATTTTATGTTGGATCACAAGGCCTAACAGAATTTTACTTGCTCATGTTTTCACATTATAGTATATTTATGTCAACATATGTGGATGTAGATACATTAAAAGAAACGATACAAACCTCCACAAGCCAATCAACCAAAATTCCTCGCATACTTTGGGTGATATCTCGCTGTAGTGTTTCCATAAAATCAGAACAAGGTCTTCGGATGAGCTGAGCACAAGAGAAGCTTTACCATTAGCACCAAGTGTGTTATTGATGCAAAAATGAAAAGAAACAACATAAAGTAAAAATATATGCAAATTCTTTGCAGAAGTAAATAAAGAGTAGAAGGCACAGAAGATTTGACCTTAAAACCAATAACTTGAATTTATTATTGCAAGAAGCATAAACCCTGGCTTTCAAGTCTTAAGTTAGAAAGGGAAACTTCTAAGTAGCAGATAGCATATAGATCCTGGACAACTAAAAATAGGCCATTTTGCAAGTTTTGAATCACAAGGTGTCCTGTGAAATTTTGATCAGAAAAGCACTGTAATATACTTTAGTTCAAGCATGAATGCCCAGTTCTTCATTTTTAAGTTCTTGAGTTGAAAATATCAAGGTGCTGACCACCCTCTTTGAACCATATTTTTTAATTTTCTTTTTCAATATGAAGAACAACTTTGAAAAGCATGTGGTATTGTGGTTTTTTCATAAGAAGGTCATTACCCAATGCTGGTCCTTTCCATCCAGAGTCTTGGGCAGATAAGAATATGGACATAACCACCAGCATTTTTAGTTTGAACTGTCTGGCTCGAACCCATATATCCTGTGCATGATACCCGATGATTTCCATCACATAGAGCAATGGCCCATATATTTTGGTCTTTTGCCTTGTCATGGTTTAAAAAGATAAGGAAAAACAAAACTTGAAAACTGTTGGTGCAAATAATTTTTAAAATAAAACCCAACGCAATTTTAACAGAAGTCTCCCATTAAAATTTTCAAAAGGGTCATATGTATACTATTCATGGAGTTTTAAACTGCAGTATGCCATGCATTAAAAGGTGGATAAGTGCATACATCTAATGACATAAAAAATAAATAGTACCACAAATTGTATTGAGAACACAATAAACACTAACCTCCGCAACACGTAAATTACTATAGATGTCAGGGGCATAGAGGCTGCACATTTGAGGATCTTTGAAGTCACAATCAATATTTGTAATGTCTTGACCGCTCAAAGTTCCTAAGCCCACACAAAGCTTATCCACATCTGCAATAACCAATTGAAACAATATCACATTTGGTACTCTTTTCTACATTATAACGACTGGGAAAGAAGAGAAAGAAGCATTAACTGAAATGCTAAAATGCCTCTTCCTCCACAATGACACTATCCCCTTTCCTCTTAAAACATTGTCCTAGTTCAGCCAAATTCAGCAAAATATGGCCCACTTGTAAGAATTGCTGCAGAAGTCTAATTTTTTTGAGAAAAGGTAAAGTATAATTGTATTGATGTAAAAGGTTCTTCAAGGGTGTTGCCCGCAGATACCAAAATGTAAAATAATGATAACAATAAATGGGAAATTTATTTACAGCACTATTCACAAGCATGAGTTTGCCACCACTGGATAGAAAAACCTTCTTCCAACCTACTTGTTTGATGTTTCTTTCAAAACCCTTCAATCTTGGGATCTCATGACTCCTTAGACTTGTATTTTGCAGCAAATGGTTTGTACGTATTTCCCTGTCTCTAGAATTTGTATTTACTTCATATTATTTTCCCATTTAGTGTATAGGTCATATAACTTTCCTCTTGATGGTAGAAATGTTTTCTTAAATTAAGTCCCCACTCCCCTGTAGAGCTAAGTCTCATAGTATGAAACATAGAAAAGAAATGAGAATACTAAGGTGCTTCTGCATGCTAACAACAAGCATGACAAAAATCTAAAGACTCTCAAGTTGTGTATCATTTAAAGATAGCTATCATTTTCAATAACATTATTGTCAAAACAAAATCTTTTTTTTTTCTTTTTCCCCCTTTTTCTTTCAAGCAACATATACACACACAGAGAACACACAGTCACACAGGTAGGATGAATGTTTGTCCTGCCATTATTTCAACTCTGTTGTTGTTTCTTATATTAGCAGTAGCTTAAACCAATAAATCAGTACGTCATAAAATAACCTAATGAGTCTGTCAGAGTTTTACCACTGGGACCTAAAGTTAAAAAGTTACACTTAGACTTTTGCAGTAGATCATACAATAAATTCATATAAGGCTCTGTTTAAACTTTGAAGGACTTGGGAGTAAAAATGAATTAGAAAGCAAACCTTTGTTTGAAGGACTTAGGAGATGAGAAGGTTTTCCAAAGACCTGGTCTCCAAGCTTATAATTGTCTACACCTCTTTCTGTTGTGTCATTCTCCATCTTAGGTTGCATTGGCACTTTTTCTTCCAAATCTTCTGTAGCTGTTACTTTTTGTGGTTCAAGAGTCACTGTTTTCTCTATCATTTCAGCCGTCCTTTTATTAACATCTTCTTGTACCTCAGAATTTTTTGCAGCACCAGCACAGCCCACCTTCAAATCCTTCTTTGCAGGACCTCTTTTGCCCTGCCTGGAATTCTTATTGTGTAGACCAGAAGACTTAACAAGAGCCAAATTCAAATTTTTAGACAAAGAAAGGGAAGGTTCTATAATGAATGCAAGATCCCCAATACCAAAAACAGAAGAATCTTCAAAATTAATAACTGAGTAATGAATTGTCAAAACCATCCAATAATCTAAAATATCTGTTTATGCTTATGCAATTAGAAAACATTCCGAGATTGAATTTTTCAAGTTCTGTGCAGCCACTGTACAATGGAATTGATAGATAAAATAAGGATCAAGGCATGTAGAACAAACTACAAAGGATGGTTCCCTGACCTTAAGTTTAGATGCATTGATGCAGTTCCTATATGAATTTTCACAACAGATATTAGTTACATCCTTAAGCACTGCCCTCCTTTTATGCTGAAGACATGCAGTGACTGGAGCAATAGAGTTGTTCTCATCCAAGGCTCCCCTTTTTGAATTTGACCGTAGAATCCGCTTCTGATCCTGTTTAATAGACAGATTCGAAGGAAGCATCCCACTGGATGCATGAATTGCTGCAGCTCGAGATCGTGTTATACGACCAGTAGGCTCATGAGAAGCAGCAAAAGCCATGTTTTCTTTCTTCATATTTACAGAACTTGTCAAAGAGCAAAACTGTTTTTAAACTGAAATTAAGTTCATTGGAACCTGCAATTTGTACAGAGGCATTAGATGGGGCCTAAAGATATGGAATTCAAAATCAGAGAGCCAACAAAGCCCATGAAAACAAACACCAGAAACCCTCCCTTAGTCTACAATCTCAAACTCTTAAAAGACATTTTCATGAAAAAAACAATTTCCCACTAACATAGAAACCAACAAAAGGTTGTCCTAAAATATGTACAAGATGGAAAGTGACCAACAGCAGCAGAGAAATTCTGATTGTTGTTGTGAAGGACATTAATCATCGGAGATCAAGAAGACCAGGACAACCCCATAAATCAATTGGGATAGCATAATGTTTGCAGAAACAAACCCTAAGGAAAATATTAATATTTATGAAAACAATCATGTCAATATGACTCCAATAAAATGAGTAATATCATTAAGACAAAGGTATAAGAATGTCAAATTACAAGTATAGATGATTCATTGAACAACAATATTCAATGACATGTAGAAATCAATCAAATAGGACTTGATCTTCAAAAATTAAAATTTCATAATTAACTTAGTAACAAAACCGAAAAGAAAAATAAAAGAAAACCACAAGATCAAACAAATTTAAATAAAAAAAAAATAGTAACTTAGTCCAGCAACTTGAGAAAATAGTCCTATCCCATCAAAACAAACAGGCAAAACAAAAATCAACCAGGCAAGAAGGCATACATCAAAATAAAATAGATGCGTCTTTTCAAGCATAAAGCCCAAATTTTGTCGCATACAATCAAAACTAGACCTAGATCGTACAACAAAAACATGCTGAACTAATCCATAGAATGTCAAGAAAATTACAGAAGCAGAAAGGATGAAAACAGGCAAACTAAAGCCAGCATTTCAAGACAAATTTATACAGTGTTGATAACAAATACACATTCTTCGTAGATCATTGCTCTAAATCTACAACATTCTCCAAACCACAACAAATCCACACCCCCTAATTGATCAGAAACCAAGAAAGAAACCAATTCCACAGTTCAAAGAAAGATAAAAAGAAAGAACAAAAAATAAAACAGCAAAAAAAATCCACGAAAGCTAACCTTACTCTGCTATCCAAGCTCCAAGACCTTCAATGGTGGTCCGGAGAACAGAGTAGGGTTTCTGAGTGGACGAACATTCAAGGGCGGTAGAGGAGAGAGCTAGAAAGAGAGAGAGTGGAGTGAGCTTGCGAAGAGAAACAACAGAGACGAACCATCCTTAAAATAAGCGGAGCGTGAGCGGGACGGCATACAGTTCAAACTTCCAAAATAAAATTGAAAAAAAAAATGAAAATAAGAATAGTGCATCAATTTACAGAAACGGCCCTGACATTTGATCCAATTGACTAAGACAGATGATAACATTTTGGAGACGAAAATAGCCATCATGTTTTCACTTAAATACCGATTGTTTTACGGATATGTCATATGTGAAGCGTTGGCGGAGGGTATTTTAGCCATTTGAGTACGAGTTTTAAAGCGAATTTAAGTAAACGCCCAGCGGCGTTGGTTATCAGGTGAAATTACGAGGGTAGCCTCATTTTGAAATTTTCAAACTTGCCCAGATTTGAAGGGATCGGAGGATTTTGAAATGATTTTGGGCATGGGAATTACATCGCACGTGATCTAACAACTTTATTGCCGGGAATTTCCGTCTTAATCAATAAAATAAGTTCTTTTTTTTTCATTTCCTTGGTTTTTAATTGGCAAAAAAAAAAAGAAAATCTGCGAGTGGAAGTGTGGGCCCATCATACTTCAGCGGGACCCGTGAGGGAGCTTCTCTTTGATCAATCAAATTTTGATGCAATCGGATGGTCGTGAAAATTTGGTCCATTATCTTCGTAGGTATTCAAAAAATAAATCTATTTTTGAGTTGTACTTATTTACTTAATAATATTAATACGCGGTGTCACATGTAGATAAGATCCTCTCATTTTGAAAATGGAGAAATTGAGAGGGTCCAATTCAGAGCTCAGGCCCATGGTTGGTATGGAGTCAGAGATCCTCCTACGTGGTCGGATCCATCTGCTGGTTGGGTCCTTGAATCTTGAATCTTGAAAGGAGCCCATCGAGGTTAGCCCAAAACAAAAAGCCCGTTCTTGCTTCCAAGTCCGGTGAGTGGAAAATTACATGATTACCCACATGTTATTTTTCATGATTTTAACGCCAAATTGTTATGCAGTCTGTGATTGCTGGCTCGATACCCGAACCGTTTTGGCGATCAGTTTTCATGTCAGCGGTTCAACAATTCGGTCTAAATGGATCAGCTTATTATGTTTTAAATTTAAAAAGAAACAATCAAAACCACTGCCCAGATCGAACAAGTCAATAGTTTGACTGCTCAGGTCACCCGCTGACCAATTTAGTGGTTTTGGCGGGGATATATAACAGTTTCAAGACTGAATCAAAACCGGTATTCTGTCTAAACTTTGGTGCTTATAAATGGCAAAGCTTGTACATTCATGGTTTTACAAAAGACCCAAGAATGGAACAATTCTGGCCACCAATTTTTAGGTCGACGGTTTGATCGTCTGATTTGAACAAATGATTTGTTCTGACAATAAAAATTGAAAAAAATAATAATAATTAAAAATAAAAAATAGCTAAAAAAATGTTTAACGGGTCAATTGTTCAACCACCTGGGTTAATGGGTCATTAACCAATTCAATGGCTTTTGGTTAAAGATCGGGCTTGGGATAAAACGGAACCGGTTGTCTAGATAGTTCTCGGGCTAAATGATCCAACCATCTTGGTCAATGTGCGGTTCGAAAACCATAGTATATTCTACATATAAAGATCGTATATTTGGTTTAATTTTTTATGGATAAATTAGGGTTTGTGGTTTGCTTGGTACCTTTACAGATGTAATGTGTTTTGGAGCTATTTGTAGATGGTATTGAAGTACAATTTACTGCAATTTTTTATTTTTAATGCCAAAATCTGGTGGATCAATCTATATCATTATTACTATATATAATGTAATAAATGGTTGGAATATTTTTATGTTAAAACTTTATTAACAATACATCCACACCATCTCTACATCATATGACACCTTGTGGAGTGTGGTGTGATTTAAACCTCACCAGAGTGGAGCTCCGTAAGATTCAAACACAACACACCTCACATACACCACAATACCAAACACCTTTCCTTCTTGATTGGAACTCTAGGTTTTTTTTAAGCATTTCTATTACATAATTTTGATGGTTTAAATGATTAACTAATTATATGAGGCAACTCTGATAGTCTACTAGATAATTGACTTATTGTCTAACTTAGGTTGTTTTTGGCATAACTTATCGATGGCTTTTCTCCATATGAACAAGTAGGTTTTGCATCTTAAGGATAAAGTTAGCTTGATTGGATAACAATGGTGATAAAATAAATTCTTTAGGCTGCATTTGGAAACAATGCAAATAAGTGTGAATACAAATATGTAGAGTGTAAAATGGTTCATATAAATGACAAAATTGGGTTAGTTTTGTACTGACAAATTTACTTTCTTATCAAACAGACTTTTAGCTGTAATGGGTGCAAACATGAATTCCAATAAAACATATGCTTTTTTTTATCAAAAGCTCACTTGAATGCAAATTTACTTTTTTTTATTGATGTACTTTTTACATCTTATTATCAATGTAAATATGCATTGGTCGGCCATTTGTCATGCATAAATGTAATGTTGCCAAACACAGGCAAAAGTGAACTAGAGTGCAAATTTACCCTGAAGCGAGATTTACACTCTATTTGCATCATTTCCAAACGCAGCCTTAATAAAGTGACAATCTAGTCATTTAAAATTGTAGAAGGGTTGTTCATGTGGTGTAAAAGCACCTATAGGGGTTTAATGGTAAAAAAAGTGTATTATTTTTGGAGTGAATTATTATATTGTGTCCAATATGGTGCACTTTGAATCTTTGTTGCAAGTTAAATAAAAAATTCAACCAATCACATTAAAGACATTGTATAGTTTATTTACTTTTTATTTGTTCATGTTGCATAAGATGTAATTATTTAACATGTGATTGTGACATGTCTTTTTATCATTGTTTTGTTCATGTCCGAGTTATGTTGCAATAATTTCCATAGAATGTACCATGCATAGATTTTACCTATTATATTTTCAATCTTGTTGAAGTAAGAATTTATACACTTGCATCTTTGAAATTTCAATATGGGTAAGTAGTTTCTATATGAGTGGAAAAATGAGATCTTAATTCTGAAACTATTTTCTGTCAAAACTCCTTTTACCCACCTATATGAAAAAAAAAACCTTATCCACCAGAAAGACAAACATAGACTTGCATGTTTTAGAATATTTGGCATTTTATTATTTGAACAGTTTAGGCTCAGTTTGGAAGGAGTACAAATGCAAATATGTAGAGTGCAAAACTATGTATTTTGTATATATTTATATTGTACATATTTGTATTTGTATTCCTTCCAAATTGAGCCTTAGTTACTTAAAATCTCGGTGCATTGCTTGAATGATGGCCGAGATTAATAAATTACATTTCAATATACCATTAGATCTTTTTGATTCAGTGTTGAAATATGCCATTTCGATGGGTTACATTTCAATATACCGTTCAAGCCAATCAGAATACCGGGTTTGATCCAATATAGTAATTTCACCACAAGGTGTGACCTTAAGCAAGGTGACCCCCTATCACCATACCTATTCATCATTGGCCGCATGTTTTCTCAAACTACTAGAGAATGAACTAGCTTTAGGCATGCTCCAGGGAGTGAAAATCGCTTGCCAAGCAAGTGACATTTCTCATCTATTATTTGTTGATGACTGTTTCATATTTTATTGAGTAGAGGTGAATCAATTAAGAAAACTACAAGATGTCTTGGTCTAATTTGCTTCTTATTGGGCCAAGAAATCAATTATTAGAAGTCTAGGAAGACAAGGCTAAGAAGGGGATTTCTTAAACTTGGAGAGCCGTTTTAAGTGCCAAAGAATTGTTAATGAAGAGGTTAAGATGGGAGGTAGGTGATGGAAGGTCCATAAGATTTTGGACTGATAGGTGGGGCAGGTGAAGAACCCCTAGCTGAAACTTTGAATCCTGGCCAATGTGATAGAGATTAATGCTCCAATGAGCGACTTCATTGACCATGATAGAGTTCATATCTGTGCCCCCGATATCCCACAGCACATCTCCCATGTATTGAAAACACATCCCGATGATAATACCAGAATCGATCATATCATCATCGGAAGATATTCTCAATATATGGCGGAGATGTGCTGTGGGGCGCCCCCTGATGGGGTGCAAATGTGGACTCATGATAGAGGAGTGTGGAGCGAGAATAAAATTCGTAGTATGGTCCCCACAGTCACTTGGAGTAAAATCAAATGTATTTCATTCCATCAGAGCCAAGGGAAGACCATCTAATATGGAGCCAAAACCTGAATGGTAAATTTACCATGAAATCGGCCTATAAGCTGAAGTGTGGGCCCCTTCATCTAAGAGTAATGCAATGAAATGGAATAGGTTAGTTTGGGGATTAAAATGCCCTCTGAAACTCAAAGTATTCCTTTTCTTGTTATTGAACAAAAAGCTCGATCCCTTCAAAGGACCGTCTTAGAAAGAGGGGTTTAATGAAGAGTCTTGTAACAGGTGCGGTGAGGAGGAAAATATTAATCATATATTTAGGGTTGTATTTTCTCTCGACAGATTTGGAACTTAATCAACTTGAACTTGGTAACTGCCAATGACTTAAATTCTGACCTACTAGTATGGTGGACTGAGATTCACAAGAAGGATCTAGAGGAAAACACCAATCTGAAAGAAAAGTGGGTATTATATTATGATATATTTGGAAAACTATAAATAAAAAAAAAATGATAATAAGGACATTACACCTCAGCTTGTTCTTGAAAGAGCTTATAAAGCTTTTTTGGAGGTTAAGGAAATGGAAGAAAAAAACTACCATTTCCAACAAGATCTCGAAGTGTAAATTTATTTGCTGGACTCCTCCCAATCAAGGGTCTATTAAAATTAATTTTGATGCCTCTTGCTTGGAAAATGGTAGGTGCTCGAGACCATGTAGGCAAGACCTTGGACGCTAAAGGATATTCTCTGGGAACCTCGTCTGTTAATGCAGTAGAAGCTTGGGCGGCTTAGGAAGCATACAATTTGGCGTGCAATTTCAAGGATTGTGAGATCACTATCAAAGGGGGACTCAAAGCTCGTCATCTCCTGCCTCAAGGGTCAA